AGGAGGAGGCTGCAATGCTTGGTAAGAAATGTACGCATTATCCTGCCCATGCAATTGTAACCCCTCTGTACAGTATGTTCACAAATAAAATAAAATTAAAATTAAAAAAAAAAGAACAGAAAACCCATTTTATTTTTTTCTGTCATATTATTTATAAACTTATGGGTCCTGTCCATGAATTCAGGTTTGATAATTACTACTTACTTTTATACAGGTTCAAAGGACCAGAGAGATGACGTTCTGTGGATAGCCATGGCAGGCACCCATCAGATATGGGCACTCCTCCTGGCCTCTGGCAAACTGCCCAAGAAAAAGTAAGTGACGCCATCTCTGCCCCCATGGAGTCCACAGAGCTCCTTTCCAGATTCACCCTCACAACACCCACGGTCCTCATCAGGATGTGCTAGATTGTGCCTCCGTAACAAACAGCCTGGATGCTCAGTGGGTTAGAACAAGGCCTTTTCATTGCTCACTACATACCTTCAGTGGGGAGCAGTGCTCTGCCTCCCACTGTTGGGAGCTCTGCCAGGCCAGCTATCCTGGCAGTGAGGGAAGAGGAGGTGGTGAGTCACTCACTAGCTCCTGAAGCTTCTGCTCAAAGCGATACATGTTGCTTCTACTCCTTTTTTATCAGCCACAGTAAAGCTCTGTCTTCCTGAGCACCCAGAAATTTCTTTCTGGAAATACTTAGTGGGCCCTATTCTTTATGCATAGTTGAAGTATCTGCAGTTGTTCCTTCCAATAGTTGAGTACCACATAGTAAAGTGCATACTACTCAGGTTTTGAGATTAAATCCCAGTTCTACCACTTACTTCTGTGAACATAGGGCTTTGGAAGCTCAGCATTGTTTTTCACATTACCTCACTGGCTTATACTCTGTGTGAGGAGCTCAACACAGGGTTTTGCACACATAGTAGAAAGTGAAAAGGTCGTTATCTACATTGTTTCCTGTGTTCTCCAAAGAGCCTTTGCTCCTTCTCTCTCCAGCCAGAGTTAACCATACTCTTCTCTGAGGCTTTATAGTACCTCATATGAAGTTACATCATTGCACTATATTTGCCCAGCCTCCATTTTGCTGCATTTATTTTTGTAGCCTCTATACTTAGTACAATGTCTGATACATAATTGAAACTCAATAAAGGCTTCCAGAATAATTGAATGAATGAAAACTATCAGCCAGATCAGCACAGGTCAGATCAGCATAGAAAGTAAGTGCTACTTATCTTAGTTATCTTTACCAACAGAAAGGTTCTAGGTATTCCAAATAGTTTGTGTGTGTGTGTGTTGCTTTGGAACACATTTCTATAAATGTTCTATATCATTCAATCATGCGCCTAAATATATTAAATATACTATGTACTAGACACTGTGCTAGGCATTAGGGATGAAATGATAGATTTACTAAGATAAAAACATGATTGCTTTTCACAATGGGCTTACAGAGGAAGAATTAGATCTGTATACAATTAACAAGTACTACATGTAAAGAGAGTTATTGCAATAGTCCTTTAAGTTGAAGTTTTTATCAGTAAGATTTCAGGTACCTGAGGGGGCTTTCTGGAAGAGGCACACCAAGCTGAGACCTGGTGAAGAGAAAAACAGGAGTTTTCCAGGAAAGAGCTCACACTAGTGATATCTGTGGACATTAGTCCATATAAAGTCTTGTGAGTTCTTTTAAGAGACTTAGACACCCACAAACCTTATAGAATATGTTAAAGTAGGAAGTGACATGATTAGATCTGTCTTTTTGAAAGAATCTTGACAGCATTAAGACTGAAACAAGACTGGAAACTGAGCTAGCACTCAGGTGGCTGTAGCTGTCATCTAGCCAAGAGATGATATTTGGCAACTATGTGGTTACCAATAACCGTGTGTGAGGTGTGATCATAAACAGCAAACAGAAGCAGCAGAGCTTGCCAGAATATGCTGTTCTGTGGCTGACTGTTTTGGACATAGATGGTCAAGGGCTGCCTAAATTTCCTAATAAGTAGAGTTGTCATTCTTGTTCATAATAGGAAAATGGTCGCTCAGATCACATTGACCTGCTTCTTAATTTTAAAGATGAATTATCTTTATTTAGTACTGATCTTCAGGTGATAATGACCCCCTAATGTTTTACAAGTCACTGTTTCTCCCCCACTCTTATTTAATGAAAGGAACTCCTTTTTAAACGTGTTAAGGCTCCTTATACCAATTATCTCTCAAGTTATTTTATATTAGCTATGACATGTTTTCTCTGGCTAGCTCTTTGTTACAAGTTCCTTGAGTAATTAGCTGTGTCTTGCACATTCTGAATCCCTTAGCTTCCATCCCCTGCTTCTTGCCTGATTTAGCTTTGGGAACATACCAATCCACAGTGGTGGTCATTGTTGATTTTTACATGTTGTACCATGCATGGAATATGTATAGTCCCTCATTTTTCATTCAAAGTCACCTTCTTCCTTTTCTCCAGCACTACCTATCATGTATTCTTTATTATCCCTGGCATAAATGTAGAAACCAAGGTAAAACATTTCCGGCATGACAAGAGGAATCATTGCAGTAACCATAGACCTCATCTTCACTTGAATTTTTTGTCTTTTTGAGTCAATCTGAGTAGCCCACCCAGGCTGTCCTGAAACTCATTATGTAGTCAAGACAGGTCGTGAACTGAATATGTTCCAGCCTCAGCCTCCAAGTGTTAGGATTGTAGCTGTGCATCACTATCCCCAGATTTGGAGTGGTCCTTTTTTTTTTCTTTTTCTTTTTCTTTTTTTTTTTTTTTGCGGGGAGGTGGGGGAAGATGCGGTAATCCTCAATGTTTATTTAGCAGCTCACTTTAAGAATTCTAAAACTATAAATCATTTCACTGTTCTTTGGTGTGCAGACTGGCATTATCTCTGGTTATTATTTTGTTATTATAAAGGTGATGTTCAGAGGGGTTACAGTTATGTAAGTTGGGTAAAGAGTACATTTCTTTTTGCACAATGTCACCCCTTCCCTCGATCTCTCCAGTTTTTTCCCTTCTGTCCCCACCTACAAGTTGTATAGTTCATTTTCGACATGAAGTAGTCAGTCCTTAAAACAGACATTCCCTTGTTTATATAAGACATTGATTTTTGTACAGTTGACTAGTCAGTTCAGCATAGTCATCCCTTGTAGTTTTCTTAACATGGTAATGCCTAACCTGGCTGTCTTATGAAAACTATTTTTTATTTCATTTGTTAGTCTCTATTTACAAGAACACAAGACGTTTTGAATGAAAACTTAAGCCTTAACTCAGCCTTACTTTATCAAGATCTAGATAATCTTTTTAGTTTCTTTTTAGAACCAATATTAAGTATAGCTAAGAAGTTAAAGGAGGACTAAAACTGTCTTTATCAGTGATCTGATCATTATTGTTATCATTCCAATCGCGTCTGGGTTTTCTGTCCAGCTCCTGAGAGCAGTTTCAATTGTGTATATGTTGAGGAAAAGTAGGAAGGTCCCCACACAGTATCTAAACAAGATAGTCACTGGAAAAATGTCATGAATGCTGACTGGCAGTTTAACTGGGCTAACATCACTAATTTTTTGCTTTTTTTTCCTTCTTCCTTTACAATGCTATTGCCATTGGCTTGATTCCTTACATTCATTTGCTTATAACTAAATTGGACACAATATACCTCATCTTCCAGTGAATTAAAAAAAGGAGCCTGTCTGCGGTTTGCTGGGAGTGGAAATGAAGAGAATCGAAACAATGCCTATCCTCACAAGGCAGGTTTTGCCCAGCCTTCAGGTCTTTCTCTGGCTTCTGAAGACCCCTGGAGCTGCCTCTTTGTGGCAGACAGCGAGAGCAGTACAGTGAGAACCGTCTCTCTGAAAGATGGAGCTGTGAAGCACCTCGTAGGAGGAGAGAGAGATCCCATGGTAAGGAAAGTCACTTTTGTGCGGGGTGCCTGACACTGACCAAACTAGCACTTTCCTGAATTGTGGAAATTTAATGAGATGTAGGAGAGATCAGTCTTGGGCTATCCAAGAGTAAAATGGAAGTCAGATCAAAGGAGATATGAGTATAGAGAAGCATGAAACCATCGTAAAGTAGACTAACTCCACTTGATTATATTTAGTTGTTAAGGGCTCAGGAAAAAAGAAAGGATCAAATGTTTATTGGCAGAGAAAAGGAAAATACATTTGGTATTTAGTGGTGGTTTGGAAAGACTACCAAGCAAGCATCCTGACCAGATACAGTACTGTAGTGAGTAAAACAAGCCCCCCAAACTAGTTCAGGCTTAAAATTCTGTCACTCCTTTTTAGTCTGCATGAAGTAGCCATCCCTATATAAAAATTAGAACTTTTCCCCTTGGACTTTAATAATACTTACAACTATCTTAATTTGCACTTTATATCATAACAAAGCACAGAAAAAAATTAATCACTACTATTTCTTTCTCTTTAAAAAATAAAAGAATTTATTTGCTTTTGGTGATGTTGATGGACTAGGCATCAATGCAAAGCTTCAACACCCACTTGGCGTAGCGTGGGACAAGAAGAAGAATTTGCTTTATGTGGCAGACTCCTATAATCACAAGGTGAGTCTTGACAGAATTTTTAATACCATGCTTTTTGTTCATGGTACTTAAAATGTGGAAATATCTGTACACCTCCTACAAGTGCCACTCTAAAATACAGAGAGAAATAAGGGCCCTCAGCAACTGTGTTGCTTGTTCTTCGCTCTGGGCCCTTCCTTTGCCAAGATGTTACAATAGTATCTGAACTAGTTCCAGGAGGTAAGGCGTTATAACCATCAACAACCCCTAACGGATGAGCATCTTGAGCTGTGCCATATTTGCAGTGCCTGGTGGAAAATAATTTTTTTAATCTATATATTTGTTCGAATTCTTACTGTATTTTGTTTTCCATAAAAATCAGCGTATGAGCAACCACAAATTTATGATGATTGAAATATAACTGCATATCATGAATTTTAACAAAGGTACAAATCCTCTGACAATCTAGGTGTTCATGAAAAGGTCATTGTGAATACGTATGCCATTGTGAAGAAAAACAGTAAAATTATTTTTTTATTTCCAGAAATAATTTCATCCAAGAAGGCTCCAAGAAAACACACAATAACTAAAGATTTTACAAAGTTTTTGCTCTCATGAAATATTTCCCTTTAGGCTGCGTAATTTAAACGTTTGGCTTTTTTATTTTTTGAGGTTTCTTGAGAATGTTAATGGCAGTGGAGAATTCAGTCTAGTTTTCTTTATATTATAGCTTCCATCCTACAAATATGAGATTGACCTTCCGTTATAATTTTTTTATTCTTCTTTAGATTAAAGTTGTGGACCCCAAAACAAAAAACTGTACAACGTTAGCAGGGACTGGAGACATGAACACTGTCATCAGTTCTAGTTTTACTGAGTCAACTTTTAATGAACCAGGAGGCTTGTGTATTGGAGAAAATGGTCGGCTGTTATATGTAGCAGACACCAATAATCATCAAATTAAAATAATGGATTTAGAAACAAAGACAATTTCCATGGTAAGGTTTCTTTGAACATAAGCTAAAGGGTGCGGTTTTAAGAAGGATTCTAAAGTCCTCAAGGAATTACAAGCAATTTTCTCCTCAGTGAAATTGACACACATAGAAAGAGTAGTAAGTGGGTTCCTCCATTGTGTTCTTTGATCATGAGACCAGAAGGCCTGCTTTGAGGATCTCCCGTTACTCTTAAAATAAGAATTCCATCTGTGCTGAGAAACACAGTGAAAGTTGGAGAGGAATTTCATGAACCTTCAAGCAAAAAAGAGGGCTCAGATCTGTTTTTGAACTTATAGATACACTGACACATACTACATGTGTGCACCCTGTGGATTGGGCTGTTTTATTCAGTGATCCTTAGCAGGTTGTATCATCTCTGTTTCCATTACCAAATAATCTTCAGAGGAACCTTTATAAGCCATTTTTCCCATGACATGGAAAATAAGATTGGGAGAAATTAAACCATCAATTTTTAAAAATATCAACACAGTCTTTAGTAGGCTTTTCAAAGAAAATCATCTCTTATAAGCTACCTCCTGATGTGTCACATTTACCTAAAAAAAAAAGAAAAACATTTCTAAAATTCTAGTTGTTTGCAAAATGTGTTTTACAATAAAAATATAAGTTATGATCACAAGTGTCATTTCTCTTTATGTAGATTTGATGTAACATGAACATCTTATGCTTGATAATTATAAGAGGATATGTTATTATTTTTGTCTACTGCCTTTAAATTCATGACACTTAGCTTTGATTTTCTAACATCTGTATGTATTGGATAATTAGCTCCATCCCTTTTGTAAGTGGTAGTGATCTTTTTGCTGAGGTAAACTTTTTTCTGTACTCATAGAATAGTTTGGAGGGCATTAGGTAGTTTAAATTAGAATGGCAATTAGCGTGTTATTGATAGAGAACTTCAATTTTTATCCTTTCAATTTCTGTGAGGTACAACACATTTTCTGATTTCGTAGCTTCCCATCTTCAGACCTGACAATGCTGTGGTAGATGGCCCATTCCCAGAAGAAAAGCCGAAGACAGTACCCAAACTGCCAAAGTCTGCCCCGAGCATCCGGCTTTCCCCAGTAGCTGCATGTCCTGGCCAGACTCTTGAATTCAAGCTCAGTCTGGATCTCCCATCAGGAACAAAGCTGACTGAAGGAGTTCCCAGTTGCTGGTTTCTAACAGCTGAAGGTATGAGGATCTAGTGAAGAAACAAATATTAATTAATTTCTTGATGTCCAATGTGATTTTCTTTCTCATTTGTTATGTGCTATTTTTACTCTGTCACTGGGCAAGATTTCAGAGAAATTATGTGGGAAAAAATGAATCTGGGTCTAACCCTCTTTTGGCAGTTTTCTTTGAGATTCTTTCCTCCATTTTTTTTTTCACATGGTATTCAGGTAAGGGGTAGGTTTATTCAGTAGACCTGCTGGGACCAGGCAAGGTTGGCACTCCACGCGGCTGGCAAAAGAGAGAGAGCTGGGAAAGAGAGAGAAAAGAGCTAGAAAAGAGCAGAGAGAGCAAGAAAAGAACAGAGAGAGAGAGCGCGCGTCTGGGCCTGGGCTAGCCCTTATCTAGGGTATGGGCAGAGAAAGGTGTGGCCACATCAAATTCAGATGTGACCTCAGCGGATGCAGATGTGACCTCTTCCAGGTGTCCCAGTTGCCTAGGTAACGCAGGTACTGGGTGGAGACTTTGCTGCGAGGAGGGTGGAGTCTGCTAGCCATCCAGGAGTGGACCTTACATTCCAGCCTTTTAATAATCATGAAATAGGGCGCGGATTCTCTCTGGCTACTTCCTGCTGACAAGGGGCATTGACAAAAGGGGTAAAAGGCTGGAATTTGGTCCCCTCCCAGAGAAGGCAGTGAGCAGCAGCTGTCCCTTGGTGGTGGGAGTCCTTAGCTGAAGTCTGGAGAAGTCTCATGAGCATTGAGGGGCTGGAAAAAAAAATACAGAGTAGAGAAGTGGTGTGGATGTGGATGTAAAGGCAGCAATGGTATCGATGCGCTGATTCCGCCGCAGACAGACTGGTCGGCAAAAGGCCGTCAGAACTGTGGGTATTCCTCAGAGCAAAAAGGGAAGAACAAAAAAAGAAAAAAGAGGGAAAAAAAAAGAGAAATCCCAGCTATCCTGACTTTAAGCCTTTATCCGAGTCACAGCACCATTTATGTTAGGTTTTTAAAAAGAGGTAGCCAAGTAAGAACTGCACCATGCACGTGGTATTCAGGTAAGGGGTAGGTTTATTCAGTAGACCTGCTGGGACCAGGCAAGGTTGGCACTCCACGCGGCTGGGAAAGAGAGGAAAGAGAGAGAAAAGAGCTAGAAGAGAGCAGAGAGAGCAAGAAAAGAACAGAGAGAGAGAGAGAGCTTTCCTCCATTTTATTGAAGAATAGTGTAACTCACTGAAAATTACATTTCAGTTGTTAGCAGCATTGTTTCTTATAGTATGGACTTGGCTGGATCTCTTCCCTTATTCTTTTTTTTTTCCTTCATTTTTTTTATTGTGAAAATACCATACAGAGGTATTACAATTACATGAGCTAGGTAATGAGTACATTTATTATCAAGCAGGGTTGCCTCCTCCTTTGTTTCCCCTTACCATCCCTTCCCATCTCCCCACCCCCATTCCTCTGCCCCCCGCCCCCTTCCCCCAAGCCAAAGTTGTAAAGTTTGTTTTTCAACATAACATCTTATACATCTCATTGTTGTAATGGATCCACCTGTATCCCTATTTAAACAATTTG